TCCTTTACATACTTGAGTTACAGTTAAGGGGTATTCTACATTATGTACCTCAGTGGTGACATCACAGATGTACAGCTGCAGACTCTGAATATTCAGATCACTCACCACAGCACACAATAGGGCTGTGTTTAAACAGACAGCCTAATTCTGATCTTTTGACCAATCAGATCAGATCTTTTGCCAATAATTGGGCAAAAAAATCTAAATTGGGATGCCTGTGTAAAGCCTAAGAACATGAAAAATGTACTCTCCTGTAATCAGCAACCACTATCCAGCTCCTGTTCTCAGTTGCTCTAATCTGGCACAATCAAGTGTAAAAGAAAATCATGAGTAGTGAATAGTTATAGTGAGGGGTGTCCATGAACAGAAAAGTATATTGTTTTTTGTGTAGCACATGCACAGGACATCGCCATGTTCTATACATGACAAAACGTCATAATCTGGTCCCAAGTAAATAACTGTCAAAGCAAACGGTGAGTATAAGTGGTGGTATTTTATTTTAAAAGGCTGCTCTATTCCATGTGCTCTGAGCAGATATTTAGTGCATGATAATCATAAATGAGATGAGGCCCTTTTAGGACCATTTTGTATGTAAGACTGATTACTATCTGATAGTATGGTTCATCAAAAAACGTACAAAAATATTTACAAAGTACAAATTAATTGTTTTCAGTAGATCAAATTACTTATTTACAGTTTAAGTACAGTAGCTCAATTAAAAAAGACAACTGACTAGAAGCTTCACAGGAGAATGAAAGAAAAATGAAAGAAAGCTGGGGCATATTAAGTGAAACAACATGCAGAATGTACAACGTGGACAAACCATCTATTATTCAAGAGGGTGGTATCGTATAAGTTATTCTATGCATGACATTTCTATTGGTAACATTCTGAAAGATGCTCTCAAAAGAGCATACCCTCTAGAGAAGACATTGTGCTTCTTCTAGAGGTCCGACTTGAGCTAGGCTTTTCACAAATTATTTAATCTACAAAATACCTAAACTCCCAAACTGGGCATAAATTGATTCATATCATTCAAGGGTTAAGACATCTGAACGGTGCCTAGCTCAGAAGGACCTTCATCAACAAGCAGATTGACATGTTAGACTTACAGTTCAGGATCATTCTCGGTTGCTATGGCATCTTTCTACTAGTACGTAAACAAGCAGGCAATGAGCATCTACATCTGAAATGGCACTTTATTCCCACTACCTATGGCCAGGACTAGTTGTGCACTATACAGGGTATAGAGTGTCATTTTAAGACACACACCCTTTATGTTACACTTTTGTTCCATGATATAAACAGTGAAATATAAAAAAGTGCCTTGTGATAAAAAGGGTTGGCAAATTAATTCCAAACTAACCTAACATGGTTTACATCTTAATCATATCTGATAACTCATTCTTCCCATTCCCAGAGACATCAGATTTCCACAACATTACTTAATAAACAATTGACTGGACTGGTTCAGGTAAAATAAATCCAGTCCCTCTTAAGAAATTAAAACAAAATCTCAATTTGCTGGAGCTGTAGGTAGACTGGACTCCTGTAGAACTCCTTTAGCATTCCGGAACACCAGGCTCAGCATAGTAGAGCTCTAGCTTTGGGTATGGAGTGACTGAAGAGACAAAATGCACACAGATACACCCAGGCAGAGAGGAATGGGACATACAGATCATACACTGCATAACCTCAATAATACTACATTGTCTTCTTTTCATTAAAGACCCTAAAGAGGGATTAAGAATGACACAATATGCAAGCATTTACTATGCATGTAGTCTGTCCATTTAATCTTAATAAGAGGTTGAACCCAGAGAAAGGAGTTGAGGCAATAGATCTGCTATTGAATCTGATCAGCCTGGCTGGAATAGCGCGCACCCACTGGATCATATGCATCAGCCTATAAGGCACTTTGACTGCTAATATGCCTGCAAGGAGCTTTATTCATAAAACTGTCTACAAGGCATCCTGATTTATCAGCCTCCGAGACTGCTATGGAATCTGATCAAGCTCTGAGGCTGAAAGCTAATCTAATCAGCCTGTCAGTAATGGAGTACTGTAAAGGTAAATATTATCCACAAAATATGAAGTGTCCCTTATAATTATACACATATTAGTTATGCAAGCTAACAACCAGCATAGACAACTAGCTAGCTTGTTAGCTAGTTAGCTAATAAGACTACCTAGCTAACTAGCTAGCTCACAAGACTAGTTAGCCAAATGAGCTTGCTGGCAGCCTTGCTAGCAAGTTAGCTAACAAACACAAAAAGATTGCTCATCTACAAAAAATCTGTCTAATATAATGTTAGTGATATATCAGTATAAAGTTGCCTTAATTTTGAAAGATACAAGCTATATTATCTTTTATCCTCTAGTCTTTAGCTTTCTGTCTCTGTTTGAATGTGTCTTGATTGCTCGTTGTTCCTTGCATGCGATTGGCTTTGGTCTTGGGGGTGGCACACAGTCTGGGAGACAGGACTGCCTGTCAGGCGCTGTTCAGAGCTTAAATGCCCCACGAGCAGTGTAGAGTTGGAAGTACAGATAGGATGCGACAGGCCCTGGGTTGAACGAGTACGTATCCCAGCATGGCGCACTGCACTGCCCAGTGAGGGACCGCGCCGGACAGGAACCCACGACGACCTTTCACCTCATTTAGGAGAGGGAGGGCGGGGCTAAATGTCCCCAGGATCCAGAGGACAACAACTGGCTCAATTAAGAGGAAGTTACTTCCCACCGGAAATGACTGTAGAAGTGAGCACGTTGTGAATGGATCTGTTTTATATGCATTATACACTAGTATGGGCATTTCATGTTATATTAACAAATGAAAACAAAAGCACAAAATGAAAAGGAATGACAAATATTAAGTTACTAAAATAATTTCATTTAAAACTGCAATATGTAACTTTTTGGGACCACCAAATTCACATAGAAATTTGAGTTATAGATCTGTCATTCTTTTTGAAAGCAAGTCTAAGAAGCGGTAGATTTATTCTGTTTTGTTCGGTTTTGTACACAGACTTCAAACAGCTGAAAATACAATATTTGTGGTTATTGAAAATATATTTCACAGCGGTTTAGCTGGTACAATGATTCTCTACACATTGCTTGTTTTATCACATAAACTGAAATGAGGCGACCTATTAGAATTTTAGCATATTGCACCTTTAAGGGATTGATAGTGTACAGTGATGAATCACAGATTATTTGCGATAATAACCACATAGACACCAATTTCAAATAATAAACCTGATTAAGAATTACATGATCAAACACCCGACTATAATCCGACAAATCCTATGCAGCTGTGTTAAAGTTGATGCAGCCGCGTTACAAGTTCAAATACTTGAATTAGACCGATAGGCATAAATCCCCCCATCCAAATTAACATGAAACATGCATTAGCCTAACATCAATGGTTTGACATTTGAGAGTAGTTATTTCTAACATGGATAGAGCCTACACTTTCTAGCTCCATTTTGAGCTTCTAACACAGAAGGGATAATAAGGAAGGGAGTGGTTTGTTACACACAAGAACAGCCTCTCACCGATATCTCAGCACATACCGCAGTTACACCTCTAACACCGCCAAAACATCTGCTATGCGGATGTCGGCCAACGTTGGTTAACGCTCAATCTGATTTAATCTAGGCTTTAGTCTCCAGATGTTCCCCACATGCATACATCTGGAAGAGGCTGTTATTGGGCCCAGCATTGTGAGGGTCTGTTACCAGTTACAGTTAGCCCTCCTTTATAAGTACCACTTGAGGCCAGCCATCAGTCTGCATGAGGACTCTCAGAGCGTGCAGGACACTTCTACTTTTAAGGTGCCCTTATTGCCCATCTATGGTGTTTTAGGTAACATTCAAAATGAGATACTATTGTTTCACCCACTGGTCTACGAGCAGGCATTACAGTGGTGTTTGGAATTAGGATTGAGGTAAAAATGTATGCACACATGACTGTAAGTCGCTTTGGATAAAAGCGTCTGCTAAATGGCATATTATAGGTAGACACAGAGAGCAGACACAGGATAGGATCATGGTAGTGGAGGGCCGTTTAGGATAAATATAATTTTAAATCATTTAATAAAAGGCATTTACAACAAAGGGCAGGCAGCCAGACTGTGCTGCTTTTCAAATGCCAAACCATTCCTCAAGGTTTTATATACTCTTTAAATGAGCTTTCCAGCCATTGTACTCTGCTCCAATAACTTGCTATTAGCTTGGATATCAATCATTACAACAGTCACTAAACACCAGTTAGTGAACACAAGTAAATCACCCACCAATTCTCTATATCCACAAATGATGTGGATGTCCACTAGACACCTTTATTACATGTAGTTAGTTAATGTGTTTCATGCAGAAATTTACCCAACAACCATTACATAAACTAGACTCTATAGCCTTGCTTATACCTGGCACTACCAAGCATAATGTGTCTTGATCTTGTCCACATTCTGATTGTGCCCACATCTTCAGAAATGTGTGTATACATGGTATTAAAGTGTGTGTTTTGTCTGTCCACTGTTTCTGCATTGTGACCAGATTTTCTGGTCTCTCCCTATGCAAATTATTTGACAGATTTTAGAGGATGGGATAATGATGATTTAAATGGTTTCACTGTCCATATCCGTCTACACTTGTAAGATTTCCAGACAAGTGTGCCTGACAACCTCCAGAGGTGGTCAGGAAGATCAGATCATAATCAGATCACGATGCGTCTTTAAATTGTCTACACCTGTCTAAAAATGTGGGCACAATCAGAATCTGGATAAGATCAGGACAAAGGGTGCATTATGGGAACCAGGTATAAACGGGGCTTATATTTTAGCATATTCTGAGTGAAATTGATATTTTGATGTCAATGTAAAGTGTAATCATCACAAAACTACCTTTTATCTACAATACTATTTTCAACTATCACACTATTTTCAACTATCATGCATTCAGACGCAATTCGATTGTATCATTCAAATCAGATGCTTTTATTTACAGTGTCAAATATAACATTTCCCCGGACAGACCACAACTTGTGCCTAAAATACACCACATTCCAAAGCCCGCATTCTGTCCCGGAATCAAAGGTGACTGGGCCTTCTGGGCCCCCACAGACAACAGGGCTATCCCAACTTTTTTCCCTTGGATCACAGCCCTGTCCCAGAAGTCCATCCATGCTGATTAGATGTACAGGGAACGGGCCCCTTCCAGATCAAACGTGACCCTTGTCTTTCAGACCGGTTTTCATTTGAGTCACAGTCACCAGCCCCCCACCATCGGAACAATGTCATCAACCCGCATTGAGCGAGGGGGGAACGGCGAGGGGCGGATGAGGGGGCGACGTAGTTCAATAGCATGTGTCGCCAGGCACACAAAAAAAACATGCCAGGCATGAGGAGTGAAAAAAACAACATGTATGCACTCACTAACTGTAAGTCGCTCTGGATAAGAGCGTCTGCTAAATGACTAAAATGTAAATGTAAAATGAGTGAATAAGCACAGTAAGTGGGGGTCCATCTTGTCAGTGTCACAGAAAATAAAGATTTCCCTTGGTACAAAAGTCTTTGAACTCTGGCTGACAGAAAAATCATTATTGCTCAAATAGGTCACAGGTGCCCCGACCTCATAAGACAAGATATTGCTCAGTGATTTGTGCATTTTTATTCACTGGCAACGCCCTTTTCCGAACACCAGTTGGTGAGCTTGAGTAATGCTCTCTGTAGAGATTATTTCCTATCTAATCTATAGTAGGTGATTTGGTTAATTATAATGACCACTTCCACGTTCCTAGTGTAATTAGTGTAAAGTCAAAACCGGTAATCTGAAGGTAATCGTCTTAATTTAAGCACAGACATGTTGATGAGATTTTTAACAGGACTACAAGCTTGCCTGTGGTAGTGTAAGTGAAATGTTCACTTCACTATTAGTGTTTCCTCACAGCAATTATCTCATTTAATTAAACTATTTTTAGAAACCAGTGTCCCACAGTTTACGTTTTTTTAAGTTTTCCCCATAGGCACTAGTCCTACTGTAACTAAGATAAGCTCAAGAGTGCAGATGTTTGGCCTCTCTTCTCCATAGAGGTGCATAGAGTTCGCAACATTGTATCTGTGCCATTATGGCATCTGCATCTCCATTTTAAAGTAGTCCATTTTCTTCTGCTTTTGATGTTTGAAAAAAGTGTAAAGCTAATATTGGTAATTTACCGCCACCTGCAGTGCTGGATTCTTGAAACAAATCTTGTGTGTCATTTATTTATTGTGGCTACTAGATGGCAGTTGTATAGCTTAAAGTCATTTACAAACTAGGCTAACCAATTTGAAGAAGACAATGCTCTGATCATTGGCTGATCACTCCAAACCCATAGGAATCCCCACCCAGTTGACTACATAAAAATGGTGGAAGCCCTCAATGTCTATGCTCTTCTCTCATATGAGCTCCATTTTTCACTTTAGACAGTCATGCAATAAAACTACCTAGCTTTATGATACATAAACTAGACGATTGACTTGAAAGAAAATCAATATAAATTGATGTTTTGGAACTTAATTTGAACATAAGCACTCGTTCGTGATGGTTCATGAACATGATCTTTTACAGTAAATAATATAAATGAAAGAAACTTTTTAAGAGTACCTCTACTTCATTTTAATCGTTACCTTTCTGTGAGCTAACATAAATTCAGCAAGTTCATATAAAATTAAATATTGACATGACATTATAATGAAGTAGAAATAAATACAGATCATTACATAAATATACACAAATGTCTTTGAAACCAAAACTAATACTGCCATATAGAATGAGAGGCATAGAGTACTTTATTTCTAGAGTCCGTTGGTATCAAACACATTGTAAATGCATCATCATGCATTTTTAACTGTGTTTTGCAAGTTATTCTACAAATCAAATTATCAACATTTCCACAGTGCAATGAGACTTATGTGCATGTGGAGTTGTTTCAAGTAGTGTAAAAAGTTACTCAGTCTCTTGTTGGATTCATCATAATCAACCCAAACCTTATGCTACCTTTTCATTACTCGTATTAGAGATTGTTAAAAATTATAGTTTTCTTTAGTGAACAAGGTGTGGTGAGAAATACACTCACTGCCCGCTTGAGAGCTGTGTTAACAGGCCCTTAAAATAAGGTGTGATGTCTGCAACTTATGCACAGACATTAATGACCAGGAGGTTATAGTTAGCCTTAGGAATGACTGGGTGGGCTCCAGGCAGAGGTTGCACCTAAACCACAGATCTGGGATCAGCTTTCACTACCCCGATTTCACTCGTAGCCATTGAGGTAGAACAAAACACAGACCCTAGATCATGATGAATGTGAATGAGGATGCAGCCCTCCAGCAGGAGAGAGAAGGTGGGTGAGGAGTGATGTTAGAAGAGAATGAGGTAGAAACATACGACTGGCTCAGAGGATGAGCTCCAGGTATATAGAACACTATAAACTCTCCCTGTGGTCGCAGGCACTGACTGTGTGTTCACAAAGCTAGGACAAGGGGCATTCTCTTTGAGCTCCAACAGACAGAGGTTTGGTGGTGAATAAATGGAACACACTTAAACAATTATCTTTACCTTTTTAAAAACTACAACACATTTTCACCTAACATTACAAAAAAAATGTTTGACATAATCAATAATCAACTCTTCATGAAAAAAATGAAAAAGAATAAACATAAAAATGAATATAAACAACTACTCAAAACACCAGTTTACATACGTGCATCTCTCTATGTCACAATAAACAGTTTATGACCTTAAGTATGAAAAAAAAACATAGTGATTCGTTGATGTTTATATCTCATTTCTCCCTTGTTTTGCAAAAGCACCATTGTAAGTATAAGTTAATGGCTAGTTGAGTTGTGTTTGTTCCAAGTGAGGTATGGTTGAGCATAGCATATTTTCACGTGTATTGAGCACTGGTGATCGCACCAAAATAAACTATTTACAAAAGCGAATATTTAGACATATCTAACATTACATAAATACACTCATATCAAGCACCTTTTGAGCAGTGGGCCTTGGACCTACTGGTTGGGCTGGGTTCTTATGTCTGTGCTAGTTAAAAGGAGGGAATCTGGGTCAGGACTTCAAACTGTGGTAAAATGACTATTACCCCGAAGAATCACATAATTGATCAAATAATACAGCTGTCACTTTATTCTACAGTTCTATTTCAGCTGGTGTTGACTTAGTCTTTACTTAAAGACTATTGTTTCTTTTTAAGAATTTAGCATAATTGGTAACTACCCGGCATTTACATTATTAAAAAGTAATTATTAGGTAATTATCATGTAATTACCATTTACAATGACATTTCTGAGTAAATACCAGGTAAATAGTGGACTGTAAAATAAGGCGTAAACATACGATGATTAGTAACTTCTCTATAAAAACTGCATGTGCCTTAAAGGGGCAATCTGCGATTGCTACATCCATCTTTTAAAAATGTTTATTCATTATATATAGCTATTGATTCTTGAAGAATATAACTTATATTAATTTAGAAGCTTAGTTTAACTGTCTAACCCAATCAGAACCCAAAATATAACCTTTATTTACTTCTTTGTTCGTAAACAATGTAATTGTAAACAAAACACTGTATAGCCTCAAAACATGGTTCAAACTATAATTTTCATTTCATGGATGGTCAGTCCTTGCATCCATAGCTCTGTCTATGCATTTAAGAGTGGTTACATTTATCCAGCTCCACCCCTTAGCTGTTTACCGAAAATGTGGTGGGGTGACGCTTTGTTATTGTTTGAACTGCATATTACACCCTTTAAGACACATTTAATTTTTACAGTTATGATGGCCAATAAAGCTTTAGCATCAGAATGATGTATCCATCTCTAGAGTACATAAAAACTATTTCCAGGTCATTTTCTTTGCCACATGTATGAATAGCAACAACACCCGAGTGTATGTCCATTATTTGGGTGTTAACAAAAAAGAAACAAGGCATTTTAAACTCCTGATATACAGAAACATTAATCAATATTTGCATATGAACAACGATTGACTAAGTGTGCGAATACAAAGAGCTATAACAGAAACGTTGGAGGTTTGTATATACATAGGAAACAAAGAAGAAAATCTCTTAAGTAATAAATTATCTTTTAAAACAATATTTTACAAACTAGCTTTGATTCTGATACAAACTGATCCTGAATTTTGAACACTAAGACTGATAACAGAGAAAGTGTTCTTATGGTCACAACTGTCAATGAAGCTTTTCATATGTTGTACTTTTTGGTTTGTTGTGTGTATCCTGTCTCTTAAGTGCAACATAAATCAATTCCCAACTGTCTCTAGAAGGATGACCAGTCTCAGGCACCAAGGGAAGGGTAAAGGTGAAATGGAAAGTGGAGTTTCCAGCATTTAAGCGCCACAGAAACACCCTGCTCTCTCAAGTTTGATTGTTTGTTTGTCAAACTCTGTGTGGTGAAATGAGAGGACTGTTAAAAAAGATGGGGGAAGAAAACGTTTATATTTACGAGCGTACCGAGCTCCATGGGTCTGTGCTCCAGTGGGGGTTAGACGGGCACGACTGAGTATTGCACTGCTCACGGTCGGGCGGTTTGTCTAGAATCTCACAGCTCAGATCGTTAAAGCGCTCTCCGTTGGGCCTCTGACACGCCACCAGCCGCGTCTTTATTCCTCCCCCACACGGCTTGGTGCACTGCAGGACAGAGCAGAGGAAAGAAGAGTGTGTACACAGAGTCAGGACAGTTGATTCATTCCATTGTTTATCCAACCTATGTCATCCCCATACAAAATACAGTTATCGATGACCTCTGGCCCCTAATCTCTAACCTTTAACCCCTCACCCCCAGCACAACCCAGGAGGTACATGACGACATACAGCCCAGCAAAGCAATTTCAGAAGAATGGAATTGCAGAATAATAACCTCTGTGATAACAATGAGGTGATGTCATCAAAGTGCGACTAAACCCCCACAGTGTATCAGTGCTGTAGGGCGGCTTGGGTTCTCTCACCTCTCCCCAGTTCCCGTAGACCCACTGTGGACAGGGTCCGGACTCACAGGAGCGCTGCTCGATGGGTTTGGAGCGATCTTCACAGTTGTTGGCAGCATAACCATTCTCATCCTGGCACACCACCACACGCCTCTGGAAGCCACCCGCACATGTGCTCGAGCACTGACGTCACAGGGAGGAGAACACAGTGAGATAGATGGGTCACACACTCTCACACGTACAGGTATGTATGCACTAACTCAGAGACAGGCAAGTAGACATTCAAACACTAATACACATACATGTATGAGCATGTATGGACACAATGACAAAAACATGATCAAACACGTCCATGCAAATGTATGGTGCTCATCTATGCACACACACCTCACTCAAACAAGGGGTTACAGCAATAATACATTTACCAAGAATCACAGTGTCACATATTGTAGACCTTTGCAAATACACACATCAGCTACAATGAAACAAGTGCACATATAAACACCATTAATAAATACAAACACTAACACACTAACCTACAGTATGTGCAAAAAGGCACCCATTGACAGACAAATATAAAAAAGCACACATACATCATTCTGGCAAGAGTCCGGTTGACCGCAGAGACTATGTGCTTTAGGAAACTGGATCGATATATTAAAACACATATCCTCAGGAAGAGATCCCGAAAATAACCCTTGCTATTTCCCATGTTCCTTTAAATAACACCAGCTATTTGGGGACACAGACTGTTGTGCAACCGTTTTTAATAACAGCTGTACAATAGGCTAATAACCGCCAAAACCATCAGCACAACTCATTGACCTAAGTCAGGGGTAGGCAATTAGATTCAGCCGCGGGCCGTTTTTTGTTGGAGCGGATGGTTGGGGGCCCGGAACATAATTATAATAATTTGTACAAAGGGATTATATTTGAAAATAACAATCATTTCATACCTTGATTACATTGAGACATGATCATATATGTGAATACTTGGGAACAGATTTCCTAAATTAAACACATTTTAAAGTATATTCCTGGTGATTTTACTGTCTTTTTTGACCAAAAACGAATATCTCTCCCCTCCCAGAAAATCAGTGAGGGACAGTTTTGGCCCACGGGCCGCCTGTTGCCAACCCCTGATATAGGTTGTATGCATTAATTCAATGTTAAGGACCCTAGGACTGCAAGATGATTGTAAATGGTGTATAAGATATTTACCGCTCCCCAGGGTCCTGTCCTCCATTGGTGGGCCTGGGTTCGTCCTCCGCTACGTCCGTCGGCAGCCGTGGGCAGGTTGTTGCGGACGCCCCCGCTGGGCGAGGGGAAGGGTCGAGGATCACTGGAGCGGACAAAAGGGCACTGGGACATGGCACACTCCTGCTCTGTGGCTGGACGGTCGTCAGGGTCACACTCCACCACGTCCACTATCTGGTCACTGAGGTTCAAACACACCACCTGGCGAGTGGTAGTCCCCTGCCCGCAGGATACAGAGCACTGTGCACACACACACACACACACACACACACACACACACACACACACACACACACACACACACACACACACACACACACAAACACAGGCACACACAGTAAGACACACAGCATACAAACACAAACAAAACATGCTGTAGCAGCTCAGGTCAGTGTCTTGTCTCTTTAAACATGGCTGACACAAACAGATAGTGTAGTTACAGTACTTTAAGGGACCCAGTTTGTCAGATCAGTGGAACTTTTAACAGGCCCTGTATAGGCCTACAGTGGCTTGCGAAAGTATTCACCCCCTTTGGCATTTTTCCTATTTTGTTGCCTTACAACCTGGAATTAAAATTGATTTTTTGGCGAACACCAAAAGTGTTTGCTTATTTTTTTGGGGCGGCCCTCTCTTGGCAGGTTTGTTGTGGTGACATATTCTTTAAATTTTTTAATAATGGATTTAATTGTGCTCCGTGGGATGTTCAAAGTTTTGGATATTTTTTTAGAACCCAACCCAACCCTGTTCTGTACTTCTTCACAACTTTTTCCCTGACCTGTTTGGAGAGCTCCTTGGTCTTCTGGGGCCTTTCAGAACAGGTGTATATATACTGAGATCATGTGACAGATCATGTGACACTTAGATTGCACACAGGTGGACTTTATTTAGCTAATTATGTGACTTCTGAAGGTAATTGGTTGCACCAGATCTTATTTAGGGGCTTCATAGCAAAGGGGTTGAATACCTATGCACGCACCACTTTTCCGTTATTTATTGTTTAGAATGATTTGAAACAAGTAATTTCTTTCATTTCACTTCACCAATTTGGACTACTTTGTGTATGTCCATTACATGAAATCCCCCTGTATTTAAATTACAGGTTGTAATGCAACAAAATAGGAAAAACACCAAGGGGGATGAATAATTTTGCAAGGCACTGTAAATAAACCTCAGATATTATAGGCCACTGAGTTGGTTAATGAACAGTGCAGAGAGAGAGCATATAATGGTAGTCAGATTTCCCTCTAGAAGAACTGTTCACAATGGAACTGTTCACAAAGGTTAAAGACATTAGCAATGGAGGAAAACAACATATACTTAGCCACAAGACCCTCTAGTAATGTCAAATATTAAGTAGATATTGTATATATTCAATATATTTTAAGTATACACAGAGCATTTAACATGGTGGTTGATTGAAAGACAGTAGTTACTTACTGATGTCCATTCTAGGACCTTCCACTGTCCGCAGTGCACTACAGTGCACCCGTCCCTGGCCGGGGGCTTGGCCAGGTGGGAGCAGGCAGAATCCTCCGCAACCCCACCCTGGTTGTCACGGCAACTAACGTAGCGCATCCGTGTCCCTTTGCCGCAGGTGGCGCTACACTGTGGTGAAGAAGGAAGCAATCAGTACAGTACAGCAAAGTACAGTACAGTGTAACACACACAGTATTTGATTGCTACAGCGAGTGGTAGCGCAACCAATAAAACCAACCTGTGTCCAAGAGCCGAACCTCCACTGGGTTTTGTGTGAGAGGTGTGAGGGCACTTTGGTCCCAGGGGGAACCGGGTGGCTGACAGGACACTGGGCCAGTTCACAGTCCTACAGGGACAAACACACATCCATCAAACCAATCACACTGACAGAAACACACCATACAGTACTACACTTTCATCTACTTACTGGACAACCTGTACAGCACTGACAGAAGTGTACCCACCAGACTAAAAGTAACAGTTACTCTGACAGATCCCAGAAACACACAACGTTAAGCCCCTCCACATGAGGCCAACCTTCTGAATAACCTGATGCCTGTCATAACGTGTCACAGTGGAGTTGTATCCCAGTCTCCAATGCCAACACAGGCATGTTACTGGGCTCCTTCCCCACCTTCCGCCCTGCTCTACTCCCCGGGTGCCCTCTCATGACCTTTGAACCCAGGTTAACTCAGGTTTAGCAGGGCCATAGAGGGCTCCACATTCCACACTCTGAGTCCTCTGAGTGGAAACAAACAGGACCCTGGCAGACAGCCAGGCAGACAGCCAGCCAGGCAGGCAGGCAGGGGGAACACAGCCTCCACAGCCTCACACTCAAGCAGTAAAACACACTGTAAAACATGGTTGTGGTGGTGGTGGGAGAAATAGAAGAGAAAGAAAGAAGGAGGTGAAACATGAAAAGGTACTCTGGTTCTAAAGGCAGCCAAGGCCTGTCTATGACGCTGTGGGTGTGTGTTGATGTATGTTGTGTACACGTCTGTGGGTAGGTGTGTAGGAGGCAAGTGTTAAGTCGTCGTTGTGTATTTTTTGGTTTTCTCTTCTCCTTCTCGCTGGTCAACTCAGGTAGAGATAGGCGTCCTGAAACATAAGCTCCGTTCTTTTCTCTTTCCCCCTTTTCCAGCCCTGGAGTAGTTTAGGGTGGGCGATCTCAGAGCAGACTTCACGGATGACTGGCTGGAATCACAGGGAGGTGAAGTGACTGATTCAGGGTCACCAGGCCTGACGGCTGAGTCGGGAATTAAGGCCGGGACCAGGGGGGCCTCCCTGGGACCGGAGTCTCAGTCTGTGTTTATGGCCCAGCCCACCGCTCCACACCCTACCCTGACCTGCCCACCCCATGCCCCAGGAAAACAGACCATTCTGCCTTCCAACTATTAGCACGGAGAGAGAACGAAACAAGCTCTAATAAACTAAACCAATGCATGGGGAGAGGTCCATAAAAGTAGAGGTTCATGAAATGTGTGACGATTAGTCAGCAACTGTATGAATGTGAGTTTGGGTTCACTGTCTATGTGTTGGTCATTTTCGACAGAGCAGGAATTGTTTTACTGAAGAGATTTTCAGATAGGTTCACATAAGGTGGAGAGAACCAGCCTACACACATTCCATGTCGTTCATTATTTTCCATAGAATGCATCGAGCCACGAGTTGATTATCCCTTTTATGTGTTCAACATCCACTGAAGTAGCTAGCAAGTTTACTAGATAGGGACAATAGTTGCCTTGGTAACCAAACAAACAGACTTGCTAGTTTAGCTAACCAAACCATTCGTCCTAGCTTGTTATTATTAACATTGAATTCAACAATGCCAATAATGTTTTCAATTTGACTTTTGCTTTCAAAAGTAGCTCAAACTATAGCCATTGAAATCTACCGTGCAAATATACAGTGCGTTATATGGAAATAATGCACACTCTAGAATGCCCTTCAAGTCAATCAGAAACGAGTATTCAACAATTGTATTATTTTATTTTTATTTGACCTTTATTTAACCAGGTAAGCCAGTTGAGAACAAGTTCTCATTTACAACTGCAACCTGGCCAAGATAAAGCAAAGCAGTGCGATAAAAACAACAACAGAGTTACATATGAGGTAAAACAAAACATAAAGTCAAAAATACCACAGAAAATATATATACAGTGTGTGCAAATGTAGCAAGTTATGGAGGTAAGGCAATAAATAGGCCATAGTGCAAAATAATTACAATTAGTATTAACACTGGAATGATAGATGTGCAAAAGATTATGTGCAAATAGAGATACTGGGGTGCAAATGAGCAAAATAAATAACAATATGGGGATGAGGTAGTTGAGTGGGCTAATTTCAGAAGGGCTGTGTACAGGTGCAGTGATCGGTAAGGTGCTCTGACAATTGATGCTTAAAGTTAGTGAGGGAGATAAAAGTCTCCAGCTTCAGAGATTTTTGCAGTTCGTTCCAGTCATTGGCAGCAGAGAACTGGAAGGAATGGCGGCCAAAGGAGGTGTTGGCTTTGGGGATGACCAGTGAGATATACCTGCTGGAGCGCATACTACGGGTGGGTGTTGCTATGGTGACCAATGAGCTAAGATAAGGCGGAGATTTGCCTAGCAGTGATTTATAGATGGCCTGGAGCCAGTGGGTTTGGCAATGAATATGTAGTGAGGACCAGCCAAGAAGAGCGTACAGGTCACAGTTGTGGGTAGTATATGGGGCTTTGGTGACAAAACGGATGGCACTGTGTTCGACTACAGTACATCCAGTTTGCTGAGTAGAGTGTTGGAGGCTATTTTGTAAATGACATCGCCGAAGTCAAGGATCGGTAGGATAGTCAGTTTTACGAGGGCATGTTTGGCAGCATGAGTGAAGGAGGCTTTGTTGCGAAATAGGAAGCCGATTCTAGATTTAACTTTGGATTGGAGATGCCATGGTATAAACTACAGTACAAGACTGTTAACGGACAGACATTAAGGTGGGAAACTAGACTATTACACTACAGTACAAGACTCTTAACAGACAAACGATACCCCTGGCAGACTGTAGGTGTGACTTACATAATAACCAAGGTGAGGACAGTTTCCAAGAATAATCCAGGAATGTTTTGCCCCATCACCAGCCCTGCCCCGTGGCTGGGTTTCTGGGGTTAGAGCCAGCTCCCCCTCCATCACCCACCCCCAGACCCCCTCCTGTGCGCCCCCTGCCGTGGAAAGGCCCTCTCTCCTGCTCCTTCATGCTTCGTAAGGAGGCAGACTGCTGGAGGGAGACAATCCTGTGTCTCCGTCTGGGGGTAAGAGCGGCCTGGCACAGCCCCCCTCTGAACACCCTTTAGACAACAAGGCCTTATTGAGTCCAGGTGGTAATGGACTGGGTCACAATGTGCCATTGACTGTACCTGTGTCACAGCCTGCACAGGAAAAAAAACTTTCCTCACTATAAAATTGAACACCATTCTTCAACTGCAGGGGATGGGGAAAGTCACATGGTCAGCTCTCAACTAAGCATTCAAGTAGTGTGTCAGGAACGGGTTAGGGTGTTTGCGTGTTCTACTGAGTCTGACAAATCAAGCCCTGGGTGGTCTAATACTGAGAAAATTGCATATAGGCCTCACTTCATGTTATATCCTCACAAATGTCACTTGAAAACAGAGTAGTATCCAAGGGCAGTAGCCAAAGGTATCTTCACAAAATGAGAAGGCATCCACCAAACTGCTTTCACTCTCTCCAGATCAGTGCAGAGGAGATGGGGTACGTACAGAGATGTTGAGATGGGTATTAGTGGACTGTGTCCTTACCTGAGTGTCAGTGGGCCGTGTGGCCGCGTTACATTCAGTGTCGTCCATGACAGACCCATATGACCCCACAACGCACTTCACCGCCCGCATCTGGTAGCCTGGTCCACACAAGGTTGTGCACTGTGTTCACCAAAGAGAGAACAAGAGAAAAGAGCGACTTAAAGAAAGAGAGAGGTAGAGATAAAGAGAAAAAAAGTGACAGAGAGAAAGTCAGAGAGGGACAAAAAAAAGCCTACATACCAAATCATAATGCATGAGTAATTAATCTACTTTCCACAGCTTTTTCCCCCACTGTATCTAAGTCAGTGGGTACACACACCACACTCTCTTCTACCTTACTGACTCCAATGAAACGAGGTCAAACTTGTGTGGCAGTAACTTTAAACAATCTTTATTAAGAGCTGTCATTTTATTGTGAGGAACTTAAGTTTTATCAGAATTTTTTTCTGTTTTGGCCAATTCCATGGTATAGGATCATCTAATCTCCATCACACATTTAGGCTTACAGGCAGTTTGCTGTGTTAAGTACCTAGTTTTGATTTGCAAAATGTTGCAATACCTTTTTAGGCTAGAGCCTAAGGGTTGCTACAAAGCAGCTGTTTTTCATCCTGAGAGATCTACACTGATTATGCTTTAGCAAGCATAAAGATTGTGTACAGATTGTGTATGCTTATTTTGGTATGGTCAGCAATGTGCCTAAACAACAGAGTGAATGGGGGATAGACTAAATGAGTGGCTTAGCTTATCTTTCTTCTGTCAATGCTCTACATCTGGAGAAAGTATAGTATAGCCTCATGTCCAATTGGACAGAGTTCCAAATAGCTAAAACTCTGAAGCAAAATCGGTTTCATTATGATAGATACAGTAGTATAAATTTCTGTTTCATTGGGTCATATTCTAATATTTGAAACAGTTGGACACGTTTGGAATGACACAATAAGTCCACAAGACATGCCACCAGAGGTCTCTTCACAGTCCCCAAGTCCAGAACAGACAATGGGATGTGCACAGTACTACATAGAGCCATGACTACAAGGAACTCTATTCCACATCAGGTAACTGATGCAAGCAGTAGAATCACATTTAAAAAACAGATAAAAATACACTTTATGGAACAGCGGGGACTGTGAAGAGACACACACACAGGTACAGACACACGCATACGCACACACATGCTAGCACACGCACTCTACACACACGTACATTCTAATATTGTTGTATGCCGGTATTATACATTTTGTATTATAGATATGTAGTGGTGCAATAATGTTATATGATGTACTGTTTTATCTTTTGTTTTATGTGTGATGTATGTGCTTTAATGTTTTGGACCCCAGGAAGAGTAGCTGCTGCCTCGGCAGCAGCTAATGGGGATCCCTAATAAATACAAATACATAATCGTTAGCTGTTGCAAGACACAACACTACAGTCTTTGAGGAACAGTTGGTAAGCCACAGATGTCACTTGGCAAAGATGTCACAGTGTGTGCCACCTGGCAAACATATCATAATATTACCTGGCACAAAGCTATGTCACCACTCTCATAAACATGTCACTGTACTGTATGTCAACTGTCCAACAGGTGTGACTCACCTGTCCCCAAGGTCCGACCTGCCACGAGGCACAGTCCTGCTGCTGACACGTCTGGACCGACTCAGGCTTGGACGCAGAGTCACAGAAGCGGTCGTCCCGTCGATCCTCTGCAAACTGGCACCATGTCTGCCGGTGCTTGTACCCTTTCCCACACGTCACCGGGCACTGCAAGAACAGTCAACAGGCACAATGAGAAACATGGGCACACATAGCATAAAGGCAGGACAATCAGGACAACAGTGTGTGTGCAGATAACAGTAGCTTTGACATGTACAGTAGGTTAGCTATGTGTGTACAGTATGTGTTTGTTTGGGATATTTAAGCAATAAGGCCAGAGGGGGTGTGGTATATGGCCAATATACCACAAACCCTGAGGTGCCTTATTTCTATTATAAACTGGTTACCAATGTAATTAGAACGGTAAACAAGTCATTTTGCGTCATACCCATGGTATATTGTCTGATATACTGTACCACAGCTTTCAGCCAATCAGCATCCAGGACCCAAACTACCCGGTTTATAATATAAAACATTTGTGGAATGTGACTCATAGTATTTTGAGCTGCTTGGACAGAATGTGTAAACTATGCAATAAAGCTAGTTATTGCCCCACATAGTGCACCATACATGACAAGACATAACAAGGACACTAATTATTAACATTTGGATTTGATCTTTGACCCACTTCACTGGCGCCCTGTCATTTTTACATCTTTAACAACAAACTGGTCGTAGCGTAAAAAGGCCACCTGGGTTCTAAATTCCTAAATTCATTTCAAGTGATAACCATCATTTCCAAAGCGTAGTCCAAACATTCTCCATAGAACTGACCTCAGACCAGTCTCCGGTCTTCCACGCGGGACACAGGAACTCATTGCAGTTCTGGACGGTGGTGAGCTTGTCTCGCTGGCTGCACTTACTCTCATCACTTTCTGCCTCAGAGGACTTCCCACACACGGCCGCACGACGCCGGGACCCTCCGCCACAGCTTTTGGAGCACTGAAACACACGTACGCGTATTCAACCATTTTCCTTCTGTTTTGCCTTCTCTTTTTCTTAGCCCCCCGAAAAACAGGCGGTCTCACCTCTGACCAAGAAGAGTACTCCCAACCGGCCGGGTTACAGTCTCCATGGCAACTCTCCTTGTCCTCAGGTTTACGTTGACTGCTGCAGTAACGCTCGTCCACCTTCTGGGTCTTTCCGTCGGTACGTCTGAGTTTGGCGCAATAGATCTCCAGCGTACGATATCCCACTCCACACGGGACTGTACACTCACTCTTCTGTGCCACATGCCACCTGTACAGACAGGAAAGGTCATAGGTGAGAGACGCTGACAGGAAACAACTTCATAATTTTATATCATACAGCATACAGATCACAGATATAAAGATAGTGATGAAGAATCTGTGATATGGACAGATGGAGAGTGGTTTAGGTAGTACCTGATTTCACACTCTGCGTTGCAGGGTTCTGTGACCATGGCTGGTCTGGCAGCCCCATGGCATCTCTGGTCTGAGACCACCACACGGTCCGACTCTCTACTACACAGGATCTTCCTCTTACGCTCTCCTGATGGGGTGTGAGAGAAGGTTTAGTTCCTTGGTCATGGTCCTACTGCTTTTGGTTTCTCCCTGGGATTGAATCGATTGGCTGGAAAGTCCATGCGCGCTTGGATTCTTTGAAGTCTAAATCAGACACTTGTCAAAAGGCAAGAATGAAAACCAGCAGGAGTGTGTTCCTCCAAGAGTCACGTTTGACGTACATGGTTTAAATCATTGCAAAATCAATTCAAAAAGTATTCCCAGAAACCTTACCTTCTGTTCTCAATTTTTATAACCAAACATTAAGAGCAGTAAATCAGTAAATCTTCATAGATAAATAGAAATGTGACGTTGACACTGAAGAGCGCCCGTGACGTCGACATTTCTCTCCATTGCATATTTACATTTAAAATGTTTGTCCTTTTTAGTATGAATTGTCCTGAAGAAATTTTGAAAATCCTGCACAAACATGACAATTACTGCAGGAATCCTGCAGGACCGAAACCTGCAGGATTTGGATATTCCTGCAGGATATGGCAATTCCTGCATGACCAAGTACATTCCTGCAGGTATCCTGCAGGACTGAAACCTGCAGGATTTTGATATTCCTGCAGGATATGGCAATTCCTGCAGGACCAAGTAAATTCCAGCACCAATCCTGCAGGATTTTGATATTCCTGCAGGACCAATTCCAGCACGAATCTTGCAGGATTTTGATATTACTAGGGCCATATCGGATAGTCAAACTGCTGAAGGAGAAGATCAAATGTGTGCGGAGGTGAGTGCACATTATTTTGTATATAGCTAGCTAGTTTTCTATTCCAAAGAGACGTGTTTTTAACTCTCCTTTACAATTTACATTAGATTTACATTTTGGTCATTTAGACGAACAAGAAGATGAACAGTCATGTGACATCTTGGTCACCATAGCAACAGTTGACAGTTGGAAGTTGAGGAAATGGCTGCCAGGCAGTTTAGCTAGTTCAGATACTGCTAATATTACAATATTTTTTGACAGGTATGGGGTCAGAGAAACATACTAAAACTACAACAAATGTTTATATAAACATGTTAGGAGGTGGCATAGGTCGGTTTTAAAGTGTTGTGTTTGTAGAATATTTTGTATGAGTAAATTAGCTAGCTTAGCTAGCATGTTCTCTGCCACTGGCTGCTACCTAGCTAGCTTTGACAAAAAAAAACATTAAAAACTTTTGCTTCCATGGAAAGTGACAAATGAGGTTTGATATACCTCTTGCTATGTCTCTTTAGTACTGTTATCACAAGTTAGGCTTTAATTTTTAAGTCTATTGAAATGGGGTGATAGATTAGATTTTTTGAATGACTAGGCTAATGGCTCCTTGGCTAGCATTTGAAAACAGTAACTAAGTCAGATGACCGATCCTGACCTGTCATAAATAAGGAAGTGATTGCATTTTAAATAGTAAAGAGGGGTTTAAAACAATGGTTATCTATGAAATATCACTTTATTTTCAATGAAATAAGGTCACAATTGAATAAACTAATTGTTTGATTTAAAAAGAAATGTATAATTTTAACATCACTTTCTCTCTGCTTTACTTCTAGCTTGCTTGGACAGTTTCCCCACCTCCACCATGTGAGTTCTCTTCTTTTCCCTTACAGCTTAGACTACAGGGAGCACAGAAACATACACACACCTAGCATTTCACTGTAATTCTTGACCTTGACTACCTGTGCTAATTAGAGTAGTTAGTGTCTATGAATGGGCTAGTCTGCGCTCAACTCCGTGGAGGAGTTGAGGTACTTGGCTATTTTAGCGCCAAACTCAGATTGTAATGGTTGTTAGTGTTGCTAACGTTTTCAAGCAAATTCCTAATGCTAAAGAAGTCCCACAGTTGTTATAGAAAAGGTCACACGCTAGTAGGGTTGCAAAGGGAGGGTATATTACTGGAAACTTTCTAAGCTTACCAGTAAACTACCAGAATTTTGGTATCTTTCAAGGATTTTATGTCATCGATCACAATACATCTAGTGTCCCGTGTAGCTCAGTTGGTAGAGCATGGCGTTTGCAACGCCAGGGTTGTGGGTTTGATTCCCACGGGGGGCCAGTATGAAAAAAATTATAATAATGTATGCACTCACTCACTGTAAGTCGCTCTGGATAAGAGCGTCTGCTAAATGACTAAAATGTAGTGGCCCTTCTGGGTACTTCATATTATCACAGGTGTCTGTAATAATCTCTGGCCTTCTGTGTGGCCTTATTACATATGAAATAATTGTATGAAATTATTTTAAAATAATAGATAGAATGACAAAGCTGTAAAACATTATCCTAAATATAAACCATCAATTTAGTGAATACCATTGGTGTTAAATATGAGGGGTTCAGCATGAAATATCCTTTATATATATTTTTTTATTATGTCAATATGTATTTGTTGTCAATGTTTTGGCGTCAATCTGGTGGCAGTTGTGAAAAAAGTAAATAGTTGAAGAGTTGCTGTTAATTGAAAAGAATACCATTGTTGATTAGATGCTGTTTTCATTAATTAGGCTATTTTCTCTCCCTCTCACCCTCCCCTCCCGGAGGACCTGAGCCCTAGGACCATGCCTCAGGACTACCTGGCCTGATGACTCCTTGCTGTCCCCAGTCCACCTGGTCGTGCTGCTGCTCCAGTTTGAACTCTTCTGCATGCGGCTATCCCTGACCTGTCCCTGACCTGTTCACCGGACGTGCTACCTTGTCCCAGACCCAACGTTTCTCTCTACTGCACCTGCTATTTCAACCTCTAAATGCCCGGCTATGAAAAGCCAAGTGACATTTACTCCTGATGTACTAACCTATTGCAACCTCTACAACCACTATGATTATTATTTGACCCTGCTGGTCATCTATGAACGTTTGAACATCTTGGAGAAAAATCTGGCCTTAATGGCCATGTACTGTTATAATCTCCACCGGGCACAGCCAGAAGGCCCTCAGAGCCTGGTTCCTCTCTAGGTTTCTTCCTAGGTTTCTGCCTTTCTAGGGAGTTTTTCCTAGCCACCGTGCTTCTACATCTGCATTGCTTGCTGTTTGGGGTTTTAGGCTGGGTTTCTGTATAGCACTTTGTGACATCTGCTGATGTAAAAAGGGCTTTATAAATACATTTGATTGATTGATTGATTTCTCTTAAACCATATGTTCTATCTACTAGAAACTCATGCACAATATGGAAACATATATAATAAATTAATACTATATATGAATAAATTTTTTACAAGTTATTCAAGCATAAATTACCAAAGAATCTTACTGAAGATTCCGGTAACCTTGGTAAATTACCGGTAGCTTTGCAAGCGTACACGCAAGTAGAAATGTTTATTAAGAAGTTAAGTTCCATTTGTATCCCTGAGCTGTACTTACCACCGTAGGTTGTTTACTGATTTGGAGAGACCGCGGCAGCCGCTCATGTGTGCATAGTTATCCAGCAGGTTGGTGCGCACAGTAATTACAATGGGAGAATCTCAATAGCATTTCCTTGATTCCTCTGGGACCTCTGACCTCCTCATCCAATGGGTTTTGAGAAGGAGGCGAGGAGAGAGCACCCGAGGAATCAAGGAAATACTATTGAGATTCTCCAAATGTTCTATGTCGAGGGGTGTTTTCCTAATAATAGCCTATCTACAGTATATTAGTTTAACGTTAATGTGATACAGTATTTTGTCCTGAAATGTTTAAATGTATTATGGATTGGTCATTGATAAGATAACTATTGAGAAGTACTGATTGTAAAGGGAATTATTAGGCTAATGATAATTGATGAAATACCTGTTTAGGTGCATTCTGTATTATCTCAGTGTTACAGGTTAGGCTTCAGGTGCCCATTTTCAGGAGAGCATAGGCTGGAGTGACATGTTATCCAATGCTCTAGTCTAGGCCTACTAAACACAGCTGTGTGCAATCATTGACGCTTTATCAAAGTTATAGGCGCTCTGCCTAGTTTAAAGGTGCTCTTTCTTAGAAGCTAATTGTAGCTTCAGTATATTGACCATTTAGTTTATCTGTATAAGTCAGAATCTGTCAACGTCTTGTCATAGATCCAGCTCACCTTCTGCACCTGTTAATAAATACCACAATTTTGCACCTGAATTCCATGTTTCACACACCCTGACAAGACTGTAGGGTACAGCATTCTACACTATTTAATGAGAAATGTCTACTTTTCTACTTTCTAGAAAACGCTTGGTTGCAGGAGCTTTTTTCGTGTTGGAGACGAGGACTTCATGGTTGTCAGATACAACCACATACAGCCTCAACTCCTCTCTCCCCTGATCTTTCACCTCCTTTCCCACACCCCATCACCTTTCCCACACTCCTCCACAATCTTCTCTTTACCCCCCTAACCCCTACACCCCTTCCCCTCTGTTCCCTTCACATCCCTCCCCCAACCCTCACCTTGGCAGGGCCTGCTGCACTCCTGCCAGGGCCCGTAGGCGTCCCAGACGAACTGCTGGGTTTTATCCTCGATGGGGATGTTATAGGAGTACCTGACGTCTGGGTTGTACAAGTTACCTACAGAAAGCACCTGCGGAGTGAGAGGGGGGCAGAGGAACAGAACGATCCGTACAGTTCCACTGTTCCATTTGCATCACAACCATTTTACTGTGTCACATTCTCAACAGTTAGGTAAGGAGTCATTACCTGGACAATGATCTCCTCTTCGATACGGTCAGTGCAATTGATTCTCTCGATGACGTGGTCAGATCCGCTGTACTCGATGATGGCGTTGCCCAGTTTGATTTCCCTTTTAAACATGCTAACCACAAACTCGCCATTGAGCAGATACTCCCCACGGCTGTTTGAAACAGCTACATAAAAAGAGAGAGGAGGTGACACTGACATGAATAAATAGGATGTCATAAGAGTTTGAAAGTACAGTATGGGACAGGGTGAGAAACCACAAGTGTCTGATGAGCTCAGCTAAAGTCATTTTTCCTTTTGTTGAGGAAATCAAACAGTGTTTACATGGGAATACTATAGAGTTGGCTGAGTGTTTACATGGACATACTGTAGAGTTGGCTGAGTGTTTACATGGACATAATGTAGAGTTGGCTGAGTGTACATAGACATACTGTAGAGTTGGCTGAGTGTTTACATGGACATACTGTAGAGTGTCTGCTAAATGACGTAAATGTAAAATGTAAATGTAGAGTTGGCTGAGTGTTTACATAGACATACTGTAGAGTTGGCTGAGTGTTTACATAGACATACTGTAGAGTTGGCTGAGTGTTGACATGGACATAATGTAGAGTTGGCTGAGTGTTTACATAGACATACTGTAGAGTTGGCTGAGTGTTTACATGGACATACTGTAGAGTTGGCTGAGTGTTTACATGGACATACTGTAGAGTTGGCTGAGTGTTTACATGGACATACTGTAGAGTTGGCTGAGTGTTTACATAGACATACTGTAGAGTTGGCTGAGTGTTTACATGGACATACTGTAGAGTTGGCTGAGTGTTTACATGGACATACTGTAGAGTTGGCTGAGTGTTTACATAGACATACTGTAGAGTTGGCTGAGTGTTTACATGGACATAATGTAGAGTTGGCTGAGTGTTTACATATACATACTGTAGAGTTGGCTGAGTGTTTACATGGACATACTGTAGAGTTGGCTGAGTGTTTACATGGACATACTGTAGAGATGGCTGAGTGTTTACATGGACATAATGTAGAGTTGGCTGAGTGTTTACATAGACATACTGTAGAGTTGGCTGAGTGTTTACATGGACATAATGTAGAGTTGGCTGAGTGTTTACATAGACATACTGTAGAGTTGGCTGAGAGTTTACATGGACATACTGTAGAGTTGGCTGAGTGTTTACATGGACATACTGTAGAGTTGGCTGAGTGTTTACATGGACATAATGTAGAGTTGGCTGAGTGTTTACATAGACATAATGTAGAGTTGGCTGAGTGTTTACATGGACATACTGTAGAGTTGGCTGAGTGTTTACATGGACATACTGTAGAGTTGGCTGAGTGTTTACATGGACATAATGTAGAGTTGGCTGAGTGTTTACATAGACATACTGTAGAGTTGGCTGAGTGTTTACATGGACATACTGTAGAGTTGGCTGAGTGTTTACATGGACATACTGTAGAGTTGGCTGAGTGTTTACATGGACATAATGTAGAGTTGGCTGAGTGTTTACATAGACATACTGTAGAGTTGGCTGAGTGTTTACATGTACATAATGTAGAGTTGGCTGAGTGTTTACATAGACATACTGTAGAGTTGGCTGAGTGTTTACATGGACATAATGTAGAGTTGGCTGAGTGTTTACATAGACATACTGTAGAGTTGGCTGAGTGTTTACATGGACATACTGTAGAGTTGGCTGAGTGTTTACATGGACATAATGTAGAGTTGGCTGAGTGTTTACATAGACATACTGTAGAGTTGGCTGAGTGTTTACATGGACATACTGTAGAGTTGGCTGAGTGTTTACATGGACATACTGTAGAGTTGGCTGAGTGTTTACATGGACATACTGTAGAGTTGGCTGAGTGTTTACATGGACATACTGTAGAGTTGGCTGAGTGTTTACATAGACATACTGTAGAGTTGTCTACTCTGAAAAGAGAGTTGGTCAACTGTAAACAAACTCTCACTTAACTCAGTGATTAAAAAAAGAGCAGCAAAACAGCTGATGTTTTAATTTACAGTAAGGCCTGCAACAGAGAGCAGATAAACCTAATTGGGGTCAAAGAATCCTGCATTCCTCCTGGAGGAATCTCAGTCCTCCTGTTCTGTTCATCAGTCTGTCTGCTGCACACATACACACTAATACGATTATGGAGCTAATTTCCTGAGTTACTTTCCTCGCCATTTCACACATCACAGTTATGTGGCCGCAGAGACCGGCCCACTTCCCGCAAGCCCTCTTACCCCCTGTTCCCACTCAAGCCCCAGCACACCCGCAGAGACAGTCACACACACACACACAGACACACACACACACACAGACACACACACACAAAGAAACACAAACATAGCGACCTTTACGAGCAGCACAGAGAGAAGGCCCCAGCGCACCCGCAGAGACAGTCATGCACACACACACAGACACACACACACAAACACACACACACACACAAAGAAACACAAGCATAGTGACCTTTACGAGCAGCACAGAGAGAATGAAATGGACCCCAGAGGGCTATATGAGTTCTGGATCATTAACGCGTTAGCATGTGTGCCCTAAACTCTCGTACAGGCCAGGTTCAATGGGCCCGCCAAAGCTCTCAGCTGAAGACAAGCAGAACACTACAGTATCACCACCAACCATAAATCAAATCAAATCCAATTTTATTTGTCAAATGCGCCAAATACGACAGGTGTAGACCTTACCGTGAAATGCTTACTTACAAGCCCTTAACCAACAATGCAGTATGAAAAAATAACAAAATTATAATGTATGCACTCACTAACTGTAAGTCGCTCTGGATAAGAGCGTCTGCTAAATGACTAAAATGTAAATGTTAAGAAAAATAAGAGTAAAGAAAATATTTACTAAATAAACTAAAGTAAAAAGAAAGTAACACAATAAAATAACAATAACGAGGCCATATACAGGGGGTACCGGTACCGAGTCAATGTGCGGGGGTACAGGTTAGTCGAGGTAATTGAGGTAATATGTACATGTAGGTAGGGGAAAGTGATTATGCATAGATAATAAACAGCGAGTAGCAGCAGCGTAAAAAAACAGGGGGTCAATGCAAATAGTCAGAGCAGCCATTTGATTAACTGTTCAGCAGTCTTATGGCTTGGGGGTAGCAGCTGTTAAGGAACCTTTTGGACCTAGACTTGGCGCTCCGGTACAGCTTGCCGTGCAGTAGCAGAGAGAACAGTCTATGACTAGGGTGGCCATTTTTTTCGCCTTCCTCTGACACCGCCTGGTATAGAGGTCCTGGATCACAGGAAGCTTGGCCCCAGTGATGTACTGGGCCGTACGCACTACCCTCTGTAGCGCCTTGCGGTTGGATGCCGAGCAGTTGCCATACCAGGCGGTGATGCAACCAGTCAGGATGCTCTCGATGGTGTAACTGTATAACTTTTTTGAGGATCTGAGGACCAATGACAAATCTTTTCAGACTCCTGAGGGGGAAAAGGCATTGTCGTGCCCTCTTCATGACTGTCTTGGTGTGTTTGGACCATAATAGTTTGTTGGTGATGTGGACACCAAGAAACTTGAAGCTCTCGAGCTGCTCCACTACAGCCCCGTCGATGTGAATGGGGCGTGGTCAGCCCTCCTTTTCCTGTAGTCCACAATCATCTCATTTGTCTTTATCACGGTGAGGGAGAGGTTGTTGTCCTGGCACCACACTACCAGGTCTCTGACCACCTCCCTATAGGCTGTCTCATCGTTGTTGGTGATCAGGCCTACCACCTTTGTGTTGTCTGTAAACTTAATGGTGGTGTTGGAGTCATGCTTGACCACGCAGTTGTGGGTGAACAGGGAGTACAGGAGGGAACTGAGCCCCTGAGGGGCCCCCGTGTTGAGGATCAGCGTGGCAAATGTGTTGTTGCCTACCCTTACCACCTGGGGGTGGCCCATCAGGAATTACAGGATCCAGTTGCAGAGGGAGGTGTTTAGTCCCAGGGTCCTTAGCTTAGTGATGAGCTTTGAGGGCACTATGGTGTTGAACGCTGAGCTGTAGTCAATGAACAGCATTCTGACGTAGGTGTTCCTTTTGTGTAGGTGGTAAAGGGCAGTGTGGAGTGCAATAGAGATTGCGTCATCTGTGGATCTGTTGGGGCGGTATTTGAATTGGAGTGGGTCTAGGGTTTCTGGGATGATGGTGTTGATGTGAGCCATGACCAGCCTTTCAAAGCACTTCGTGGCTACAGACGTGAGTGCTACAGGTCTGTAGTCATTTAGGCAGGTTTTCTTGGCGTACTTGGGCACAGGGACTATGGTGGTCTGCTTGGAACATGTAGGTATTACAGACTCTGTCAGGGACAGGTTGACAATGTCAGTGAAGACACTTGCCAGTTGGTCAGCGCATGCTCTGAGTACACGTCCTGGTAATCCGTCTGGCCCTGCGGCCTTGTGAATGTTGACCTGTTTAAAGGTCTTACTCATATCGGCTACGGAGAGCGTGATCACACAGTTGTCCACAACAGCTGGTGCTCTCATGCATGCTTCAGTGTTGCTTGCCTTGAAGCGTGCATAGAAGTGATTTAGCTCGTCTGGTAGGCTCGTGTCACTGGGGAGCTCGCAGCTGGGCTTCCCTTTGTAATCCTTAATAGTTTGCGAGCCCTGCCACATCCGGTGAGCGTCAGAGCCGGTGTAGTAGGATTCAAACTTAGTCCTGTATTGACGCTTTGCCTGTTTGATGGTTCATCGGACGACATAGCGGGATTTCTTATAAGCGTCCGGGTTAGAGTCCCTCTCCTTGAAAGCGGCAGCTCTACCCTTTAGCTCAGTGCGGATGTTGCCTGTAATCCATAGCTTCTGGTTGGGGTATTGTGCAAGTTCTCCCACTTAAAAAGATGAGAGAGGCCTGTAATTTTCATCATAGGTACACGTCAACTATGACAGACAAAATGAGGAAAGAAAATCCAGAAAATCACATTGTGGTGGAAAATAAGTATTTGGTCAATAACAAAAGTTTCTCAATACTTTGTTATATACCCTTTGTTGGCAATGACACAGGTCAAACGTTTTTTGTAAGTCTTCAAGGTTTTCACACACTGTTGCTGGTATTTTGGCCCATTCCTCCATGCAGATCTCCTCTAGAGCAGTGATGTTTTGGGGCTGTCGCTGGGCAACACGGACTTTCAACTCCCTCCAAAGATTTTCTATGGGGTTGAGATCTGGAGACTGGCTAGGCCACTCCAGGACCTTGAGATGCTTCTTACGAAGCCACTCCTTCGTTGCCCCGGCGGTGTGTTTGGGATCATTGTCATGCTGAAAGACTCAGCCACGTTTCATCTTCAATGCCCTTGCTGATGGAAGGAGGTTTTCACTCAAAATCTCACGATACATGGCCCCATTCATTCTTTCCTTTACACGGATCAGACGTCCTGGTCCCTTTGCAGAAAAACAGCCCCAAAGCATGATGTTTCCACCCCCATGCTTCACAGTAGGTATGGTGTTCTTTGGATGCAACTCAGCATTCTTTGTCCTCCAAACACGACGAGTTGAGTTTTTACCAAAAAGTTATATTTTGGTTTCATCTGACCATATGACATTCTCCCAATCCTCTTCTAGATCATCCAAATGCACTCTAGCAAACTTCAGACGGGCCTGGACATGTACTGGCTTAAGCAGGGGGACACGTCTGGCACTGCAGGATTTGAGTCCCTGGCGGCGTAGTGTGTTACTGATGGTAGGCTTTGTTACTTTGGTCCCAGCTCTCTGCAGGTCATTCACTAGGTCCCCCCGTGTGGTTCTGGGAATTTTGCTCACCGTTCTTGTGATCATTTTGACCCCACGGGGTGAGATCTTGCGTGGAGCCCCAGATCGAGGGAGATTATCAGTGGTCTTGTATGTCTTCCATTTCCTAATAATTGCTCCCACAGTTGATTTCTTAAAACCAAGCTGCTTACCTATTGCAGATTCAGTCTTCCCAGCCTGGTGCAGGTCTACAATTTTGTTTCTGGTGTCCTTTGACAGCTCTTTGGTCTTGGCCATAGTGGAGTTTGGAGTGTGACTGTTTGAGGTTGTGGACAGGTGTCTTTTATACTGATAACAAGTTCAAACAGGTGCCATTAATACAGGTAACGAGTGGAGGACAGAGGAGCCTCTTAAAGAAGAAGTTACAGGTCTGTGAGAGCCAGAAATCTTGCTTGTTTGTAGGTGACCAAATACTTATTTTCCACCATAATTTGCAAATAAATTCATTAAAAATCCTACAATGTGATTTTCTGGAATTTCTTTCCTCAATTTGTCTGTCATAGTTGACGTGTACATATGATGAAAATTACAGGCCTCTCTCATCTTTTTAAGTGGGAGAACTTGCACAATTGGTGGCTGACTAAATACTTTTTTTCCCTACTGTATGTACGGTCACTGTGGGGACGACGTCATCGATGCACGGTGACTGATGTGGTATACTCTTCAATGCCATCGGATGAATCCCAGGAACATTTTCCTGTCTGTGCTAGGAAAGCTGTTCTGTAGCTTAGCATCTGCGTCATCTGACCACTTCGGTATTGAGCGAGTCACTGGTACTTCCTGCTTTATTTTTTGCTTGTAAGCAGGAATCAGGAGGATAGAACACATCTCTGTGTGTGGAGTAAAGATAGTCTAGAGTTTTTTTTCTTCCTCTGTTTGCACGTTGCATGCTGGTAGACATTTGGTAAAACTGATTTTAGTTTTCCTGCATTAAAGTCCCCGGCCACTAGGAGCGCCGCCTCTGGATGAGCATTTTCTTGTTTGCTAATGGCCTTATACAGCTTGTTGAGTGCAGTCTTAGTGTCAGCATCGGTTTGTGGTGGTAAATAGACAGCTATGAAAAATATAGATTAAAACTCTCTTGGTAAATAGTGTGGTCTTCAGCTTATCATGAGGTACTTTACCTCAGGCTAGCAAAACCTCAAGACTTCTTTAATATTAGATTTCGCGCACCAGCTTTTATTGACAAATAGACACAGACCACCACCCCTCGTCTTACCGGAGGTAACTGTTCTGTCTTGCTGATGCACGGAAAACCCAGCCAACTGTATATTATACATGTCGTCATTCAGCCATGACTGAAACATAAGATATTACTTTTTTTAATGTCCCATTGGTAGGATAGTCTCAAACGGAGCTCATCCAGTTTATGCTTCAATGATTGCACGTTGGCCAATAGGATGGATGGTAGAGGCGGGTTACCCACTCGCCGGCAAATTCTCACAAGGCACCTGGATCTGCATTCCCTGTATCGGTGGTGTCTCTTCATATGAATGACGGGGATTTGGGCCTGGTCTGGTAGCAGCAGTAAATCCTTCCCGTCTGACTCATTGAAGAAAAAATCTTTGTCCAGTTCGTGGTGAGTAATTGCTGTTCTGATATCCAGAATCTCTTTTCGGTCATAAGAGACACTGGCAGAAACATTATGTATAAAATACACAAAATAGCACAATTGTTTAGGAGCCCGTAAAACGGCAGCCATCCCCTCTGGCGCCATTGAACCATCTCATATCTGCTCAAGAAGAGAATACTAAACCTTTTGACAACTCTGAATGGTAGACATCCTGAACTATGATATGACGGACAGTGACAAATAAAATGCCCCAGCTAATGTTTAAATTCAACAGCCAACAAGACCCTAAAATAGTGTTTTGATAGTGAGTTTGAGTCTTACCGAGGTAGTTATCGTCCTCTGGTTTCCCTGAGTAGCTGTGTTGACGCACATCAATATTTGTAGCACCACTGGGTATTCTCACCACTTCGTTGTACCCTGCAGCACAACAAGCAGAAGAGAACTCAATGTCTCTGAGTGGACATGACTGAGTCAGTGGTCATTATAAACTGGGTGGTTCAAGCCCTGAATGCTAATTGGCTGAAAGCCATGGTATATCAGACCGTATATAATTAAGTTGGTAACCAGTTTATAATAGCAATAAGGCACCTCAGGGGTTTGTGATATATGGCCAATATACCGCGGCTAAGGGCTGTGTTCAGGCACTCCGCATTGCGTCGTGCGTAAGAACAGCCCTTAGCCGTGGTATTTTGGCCATATACCACACCTCCTCCGGCCTTATTGCTTAAGTATTTAATGGGCTAGTGAATGACCCTTTTCAGTCATTGTGATGACACATAGTTTGAACACCACGACTGGCCCTAGGCTCACCGTATCGCACCATGTTGAAGGTGCCTGCCACGGTCTTGCACGAGGAGTTGTCACCGCCACACACACCACACTTATCTCTCCTCGCCTTGGAATTCAACACATGGTCACATCCCGCTTGCTGCACAGGGATGAGAAGGAGAAAATAGAGGAGGTGGTTAATGAGGGAAAGGAAGTGGAGGAGGAAGAGGAGAAGGCAGATGATGAGGGGGAGGGAAAGGGGGGTATAGGACATGGAAGGATAAATATCCAACTAGTGCTACAACATAAAACTCATCACTCTCACATTAATTTGCTTGGCAGATTCATATTAATAAACATTGATGCAGCTAAGATTTTAGTATTTGTGAGATAATGTAATTAAAGTAGTGGCATTCTTATGAAATCCTGTACTGTGCTCTGCAACAGGGATAAAAACCATATGACCTAAGAAAATAGTTGCTTAATACACAGAACCTAACCTGGTTAAGTGTGTTAAGTCCATATCACTGTAACACATCTGACAGGAAATCTCTATCGTAAACAGCACCAAAGTGAAACTCTATTCAGGTATAGTTGGGTTTAGTTCGAGTTGCCTCTAATAGGGAGTACAGTAAAATGAAGAAACACACCTCCTCTGTGAACAATATTCTTCTCATTTTAAAATAATACCATTATTATCTTATGACTGTTATGAATGGCATATTAGGTTAGCTGTCAGGCTGAAGCTGTTAAAGGCTGTGTGTCAGTCTCACCCTGCACAGGCCCTGCACACAGATGTCATTGGTGTCGGGGCCACATGGCGTGCCGTCGATGACCCGATCCCTGAGCTGATAGTAGGCGGTGCTGCCAGCCACCCTGCAAAACAGCTTACAGCGATCCTTCATCTGAACTACAGGACAGGAGAGGAAGGTTGAATGGTGAAAACAGTCCACTGACCACATTAAAGGGGCTAATGAATTCAACCATATGGATGCTCTAACAAGTTGACTTAGTGTCCTCATGCTGTATCACATTGATTCACTGAGCACTCAGAGTGCTTTGTGCACATCTACAGGAAGCCTTAGTTTGCTTACAATGGCACAATTTCTAACGGCCTAAACAGTCCAGTACATAGATTTTTCTCTGTATTAGTAAAATGCAAAACCCAGAAGGCGTCAAGAGAAAGAAGATGTTCTTACTTCCGCTGTATTTGGGTACCCAGCGCACATTAGGAGGTAGACCGTTGATGTTGAAGTGCCGGCCATCGAAGGCCGCACACTGCTCCTCTCTGAAGTCTCTCTTCTGCTTGGAGCAGGGCTCTGAGTTACACGAGCGGAACTTCATCCTGCGCCCCACACAGTACTTCCCCCCGTTCTTGGGCCTGGATGAAGGTGGTAAATAAATACATCGTCAAATCTTGTACTTTAGGATTGATATGTAAAGAATTCATTTAAGGAGGCTTGATGGTATGGAACATTGACCACGGCAGCTCCAAGGGAGACACAGTCCAGTAGACTTGCATGACTACAAAGGCTGTGCTTACATGGGTTGGTTGCACTCGCGGTTGCCGATTTTGATGCCCCCGCCACACGTCCGCGAGCAGGAGCCAAACGGAGACCAGCCTCCCCACGCCCCCTCCACGGGCGTGGCATCATGCTCCTTGGTAATGCACTGGCCATGTTTACAGTGCTGGAGAGAGAGAGAGAGAGAGAGAGAGAGAGAGAGAGAGAGAGAGAGAGAGAGAGAGAGAGAGAGAGAGAGAGAGAGAGAGAGAGAGAGAGAGAGAGAGAGAGAGAGAATGAAACCTTAGCCTGCACACTGGCAACACATGTCTCCCGAGTGGCGCAGTGGTCTAAGGCACTGCATCGCAGTGCTAGCTGTGCCACTAGAGATCCTGGTTCGAATCCAGGCCCTGGTTCGTAGCCGGCCGCGACCGGGAGACCCATGGGGCGGCGCACAAGTCGTCCAGGGTAGGGGAGGGAATGGCCGGCAGAGGGATGTAGCTCAGTTGGTAGAGCATGGCGTTTGCAACGCCATTGTTGTGGTTTCGTTTCCCACGGGGGGCCAGTATTATTTTATTTTATTTTTTTAAATAAAACATTGTATGCACTCACTAACTGTAAGTCGCTCTGGATAAGAGCGTCTGCTAAATGACAAAAAATATAAATAATTGAAAGCACTTCACAACCTCCTTTGATGTTAATCTGGGAAAAATTACCAAACGAATGGAAAAAGACAGAACCCAAAAAGGCACCCATTACAAATGTGTCTGTCTGAGGGTAAGTGAACACAAAGGGGAAGATATGTTTCAGGTTATAACGGAGGATCCATTTTCGTTGGCGTCAACGACTGCATTGTAAAAGGCGGCAGCCTCGGTGTTGAAGGGTTGAGCTTGGCATGGGCTTGGCATGAGGTTGGTTGGTTTGTATGCAGGAATACAATGTGTAAACAGAGCAGGCTCTGAACATGTGTGCTGTGGGACCTCAGCAGGCCGGCCCGGCCACCCCACATCTCTTTTATGTCAGACAGACAGCCAGGAAGTGAAGAGTTTGGTAGAGGGCCTAATTAGAAGCTACACTAAACCAGTAATGTAGAGGGAAATCTCCACAAGCCTCTATTCACAGCTCCACCATAAGCCTATTACTGCCTCATAATAATACAGGCTCTGGAGAAAACAAAACCATCCTAACCCAAGTTCCAAATATGTTTAAACAAATGGAGGGATTTGGAGCAACTGCCACGTGTGCCCCACTCATGTTCAATTATGTGTTTATATTGAGTTGTCATTGGTAAATTGATTTTGTGGCAGGCTTCTCTGAACTTGTTGTTTTGTTTTGTCATTTTGCTTTTGATTAAATAAAGCCTGACAGATGTTATAGTCATGAGTCATTCAAATAGCAGCTGAAACAAAGAAAGTTCAAATCAAAGTTTCCTTTGTGGTTATTTATGGGGTGTTTTTTGGCAGTTCATATCATTGAACATTTCCAATATGCTCCAGCATAGTGATTAAGCTGGCTTGGGGTGTATGTGTTTGTATGTTCATGCACAGATTAATGATACTATTTGATTCTTAGATGATTAGAGAGATTGATGCTATCTCTCTTCTATCCTCGCTTCTCTCTCTTTATCTCTCTGCTATCTTCTCTTCGCTCTCTCTCTCTCTCTCCTCTCTCTCTCTCCTCTCTCTCTCTCCCCCCCCTCTCTCTCTCTCTCTCTCTCTCTCTCTCTCTCTCTCTCTCTCTCTCTCTCTCTCTCTCTCTCTGTGTGTACACACTACATAAGTATCTGGTGCTAGTCCCTCTTATTCTCTCACTTTTAATTGTATCTTTCTCTTTATCTCACCCTCTCCAATTATCACAATCTGTCCATTTCCTTCCTTCTCCCTGTCAGATCCCTATATATTGCGGTACATCTCTCTGGTACTTACCTTTCCTGGAGAGCACTCTGTTCCGTCGGCCCAGGGCATGTGTTGGGTCCTGCAGCCCCTCTGGGCCCCCTCTGGGCTGGTGCACCACAGCCTGCGGCACTGGACCTGGAGAACACACACACACTGTTACCATTCCCCTGTCTGAGCCCCATCCACAGACATTACTGTATACTCTTGTATCTCTTACAAGGTGTGTTCCCTTTAAACAAAGCCTGGAGCTAAGCCAGGGCTACACAGGAGGTGTAGCATGTAAACAAATTATTTAACGCATACAGAAGGCCTAGCTGAGAGATTACTGGGGCAGCTATTGGATATTACATAACAGATTAAGGTGACTCTAGTATAGAATGTCTGGAGCCATAGACTACAGTAATGTAGGACTAGACAGTGAACTGAGTGTCTGGGTACTTCCTGTGTCTTTGACAGACCAATGTGCAAAACATGACATTTTAATTGCGCATGGTTCATTCTCTTACCATATATGGGCACACCTGTGTCCCCGGCCCAAATATCAATTCACATTGTTTATTGACATTGTATATCCGTCCAGGCAGCTGCTGCGACAGACTGTATGGCCTAGAAATGGGCTCATCAAGTAAGCACTCGCCATACCCTGTGCTATTAAGAAATAAAAATAAAATGACTTAAAGAAAAAACAAAAAAAAACAAAGACACAAACAGACAGAAAACACACTCAGTACAGGTGGACAGGCAGTATTCTGTACAATATCAGAACCACTACTAATACCTGGAGCTCTATTCAATCAAACAAACATATCTGGAAGTATTACACATTCCAAACAGATACTGACAACATTGAAGTAATGTTGTTTCCCTTTAACCCAGAAATGTCCAGATACCAGTTTTGATTGAATAGCTGACTGGTCATTTAACCCTTACTGCGATAAGAGCGTGGTGCTACTAATGCTAACGACAATAACACTTCTCCATAATGACATGAATGTCTATACTAGAAAACAATACATACTCAAGGAACTCCGTGATGTATTTCCTGCTACACTTGGACCACATCCAGGGATTAGTGTAGTGGTTGAGTGTGGGTGCCATCACATGCTGCTGTATTTTAACCCCCTCCTCTTTGCACTTGTTGCTGTCATCATGGGGCATGTTGAATCTGTCAGGGGGCCAAACAACAAGTGAGAACATACAGTGCCTTGCAAAAGTATTCATCCCCCTTGGCGTTTTTACAATTTTGTTGCATTACCACCTGTAATTTAAATTTATTTTTATTTGGATTTCATGTAATGCACATACATAAAATAGTCCAAATTGGTGAAGTGAAATGAAAAAAAAAAACTTGTTTAAAATAATTCTAAACAATAAATAACGGAAAAGTGGTGCGTGCATATGTATTCACCCCCTTTGCTATGAAGCCCACATAATTAGTTAAATAAAGTCCACCTGTGTGCAATCTAAGTGTCACATGATCTGTCACATGATCTCAGTATATATACACCTGTTCTGAAAGGCCCCAGAGTCTGCAACACCACTAAGCAAGGGGCACCACCAAGCAAGCGGCACCCTGAAGACCAAGGAGCTCTCCAAACAGGTCGGGGACAAAGTTGTGGAGAAGTACAGATCAGGGTTGGGTTATAAAAAAATATCCCAAACTTTGAACATCCCACGGAGCACCATTAAATCCATTATTAAAAAATGGAAAGAATATGGCACCACAACAAACCTGCCAAGAGAGGGCCGCCCACCAAAACTCACGGACCAGGCAAGGAGGGCATTAATCAGAGAGGCAACAAAGAGACCAAAGATAACCCTGAAGGAGCTGCAAAGCTCCACAGCGGAGATTGGAGTATCTGTACATAGGACAACTTTAAGCTGTACACTCCACAGAGCTGGGCTTTACGGAAGAGTGGCCAGAAAAAAAGCCATTGCTTAAAGAAACAAATAAGCAAACACGTTTGGTGTTTGCCAAAAGGCATGTGGGAGACTCCCCAAACATATGGAAGAAGGTACTCTGGTCAGATGAGACTAAAATTTAGCTTTTTGGCCATCAAGGAAAACGCTATGTCTGGCGCAAACCCAACACCTCTCATCACCCCGAGAACACCATCCCCACAGTGAAGCATGGTGGTGGCAGCATCATGCTGTGGAGATGTTTTTCATTGGCAGGGACTGGGAAACTGGTCAGAATTGAAGGAATGATGGATGGCACTAAATACAGGGAAATTCTTGAGGGAAACCTGTTTCATTCTTCCAGAGATTTGAGACTGGGATGGAGGTTCACCTTCCAGCAGGACAATGACCCTAAGCATACTGCTAAAGCAACACTTGAGTAGTTTAAGGGGAAACATTTAAATGTCTTGGAATGGCCTAGTCAAAGCCCAGACCTCAATCCAATTGAGAATCTGTGGCATGACTTAAAGATTGCTGTACACCAGCGGAACCCATCCAACTTGAAGGAGCTGGAGCAGTTTTGCCTTGAAGAATGGGCAAAAATCCCAGTGGCTAGATGTGCCAAGCTTATAGAGACATACCCCAAGAGACTTGCAGCTGTAATTGCTGCAAAAGGTGGCTCTACAAAGTATTGACTTTAGAGGGGTGAATAGTTATGCACGCTCAAGTTTTCTGTTTTTTTTTGTCTTATTTCTTGTTTGTTTCACAATAAAAAATATCATCTTCAAAGTGGTAGGCATGTTGTGTAAATCAAATGATACAAACCCCCAAAAAATCAAATTTAATTCCAGTTGTAAGGCAAGAAAATAGGAAAAATCCCAATGGGGGTGAATACTTTCGCAAGCCACTGTATATTCACCACAACACACAGGTCTAACCCTCTAACACACCATCAATAAACCTACATGTTGGGCTGATTGCTAAGCTAAACCACTAAAGGACCAGTTTTGGGAGATTTGTTTTACTGTGATAAATAAAACCTCATCCTTTAGGCAGCAGACTGGTAACACACAGGGTTAACTGACTGGGCTGGTTGGGGTTAACATTAGCAGCCGGTCTGTGCCGGGGCCAGTGTCTTGGAGAGTAGGGTCACAGGGGATACGTATTATATAGTATGGTAGTTCTCTCCTATGGTACTGTACTGTACTGTACTGTATGGCACCTCTATGGTACAATATGACAGGTACTGCATTCCACCGAGCTTTGACGCTAAGCAGACTTCAGCAGCGGTGTCACCACAATCCCACCTTTTGTGTGTGTGGCGAAAAAATGGTATTTGTCTAAGACACGAGGGTTGTTAAAGTCTGTAACAGTCTCCAATGTAGTGGCCTGGAGTTGTTTGGCCAAGCTGGATGAAGGCTGGCTGGCTGGCGCATGCTGACTTGGGACTTTGTACATGCAGACTTAGGTCTTGGAGCTTGGAAAGATTTTGAGAGCAAAACCAGGGCCACATAAGACATTTGCCTGAGATAGCATGACAAACTAATACAGCTGCAACATTTTGATTACATGAAATCAATCAGAGTATAGAGAGCATGCAGTACTCACACATGGCCTAGTTCATGGGCGATAGTGAACGCAGTGCTGAGTCCATTGTCCTCACTAATACTGCAACTTCTGTATGGATCACACACTGTACCCAGCTCTGCAAGCCCTGCAAACCAAGAGTATAATCATCATCATCATCATCATATTTGTTATTAGAGCATCGTCATCACCATCATCACCTTCATCATCATTACATTGTCATCAGCCCCATCAAAAGCAGCATCATTATAAGTACATCAATATTATTATGAAACTGTCATCAATCAAACGTTATGTTGTACAGTCTGTATTGCATGTGTATTGAGAGCTCCTCTTACCTAAAGTGTCACACTTATCCCGCGCTCGGCAGATGTCCTGCCTGTGAAGAACACACAGATGGAAGTTATGTCACTGGTTTCACACCCCAGAATCCCATTGTACTGTTCCACCAGAGAATAAACAAAAGACAACATATTACAGCGAATTCTGGGGGTAGACCCAACCGTGGCTCGAACCTAGGACTGTCAACACAACACTTTAGCCGTTACCCCAAGAGATGGTGATGAGAATGGTTGTGTGGTGGTAGGAGAGACAGTGTACCTGGTGATGAGAATGGCTGTGTCGTGGTAGGAGTGATGGTTCTCATCTTGGTGATTTTGCCTCTGTTGCCAGATACAGAAGTTCTTTAAAGTGGTCTGTGCATTGAAGGAAATGGTAGGGCCATCCTACAGTCGAGAGAACAAGGGAGAGGTTTACAGTACTGTACTGTGCTTCTGGGGCTGATGAATGAATGCAATGCATTGTATTTCTCTGAAAAGGATTAGGATTAGAGTTAGTGTTGTAATCTTACCAGCTCATTGTTAATTATGACTAACTTGACAATCACAATGTTAATCAGATTTCCGATGCTGGGATCCTTGTAGATGGAAGACACCTGAAGGAAAAGATTATAGACAGAAAAATCACCCGTTTTTTTTAAACATCAATATATTTCAGTAGCCAACATACATCAAACCCTTTAGGAGTGTACTCAATCAGCGGTTCAGACATTCTAAATCAACATGCAGTTTTAAGGGAAGAAAACATGTTCTCGTTGTCCTGTTTGAGAGGTTTATTATGGCTGCAGTTAGATCCTGTAGGGAATGCAGACTACCAGGATCAGAATATAGGCCAGGTTAGCTACTCCCTAGGCTCTCAGCCACAGACACCGGAGGAAGCCTTTATATGAAGTGGGCAGGAGTATGCCATCTATGCGACATACCAGAGCTTATTTTTTCACTTTCATCAAAGCTGTCAGACAGGTACACATCATGCTGCCCCTTTCATGACCGTTCAAAAATGTTTGTTTACTCCTGCCATGGGCTGCCCTTTCCCTCTGAGCCCTCTGAGCCCTCTGACCCCTCCGCCTGCCTGCCTGCCTGCCTGCCTGCCTGCCTGCTGCCGATGGCCCGGGACACAACAGAATACAGCCCCACTCCCCTACAATCAAAGAGGCTGGCTAACTGGCTGGCGGTCGGGTGGTTAACTGAGCAGAACTTACGATGGACATTAACGTGAGAATGTAGTGCTGAAGGTTGCTCCCGTGATGTTCCACCATCTTGCTGTCTGCCACCACCATGACTTCTACAAAGCGGGGATAGGAGAGGAAGCGCTTTGATCTCCTGTGAGGTACTGAGTCACTGCTGCTGTCATTAGCCGGCCGTCTGCTGCTCTCTCTCTCTGATCTGGAGAAGGGATTGGCAGTCAGGCCTGCAGACAGGCTCTCCAGGTCATTCAGCATGCCGCTGCTGCTGCTGCTGGCCATCGGATGTCTCCTCACCTTGTCCCTGTTCCTCTTGTGTCTGTGTTTATGTCCTGGAAAAGAGATGGTCAAATGAATATAATACTCTCAATATAAAACACAAGCTTATACTGCAAGCTTGTATGACAGGCTATTGCATTTATCATACCATCAACTGTCATTCTTTCTTTCATGAAAGTATGGTTCGGCGGTATCCAGATTTTCATAACTTTATACCGTTCCTGGACCATACCAGGATATACTGTATTACCGGCAGTGCACACAAGGGGCGGTATTTCTTTCCAAGCGTAATTTGTTTTGATGCACCAAAAAAATGTAGGCAGCAGGGATCTTGATCCAGGAGGGGATTGATTGTCTCTGCTGTAACCAAGAAGCTTGATCTGGAAAGCTAGCCATTTAACTAGCAAGTTAGCAAACCAAATACATAGCTGGAGCCCTGAGCAGGAGATAATTTATTTGGCAAATCTTAGATAGTTAACTTATAGTTATAAGCAGTGGTGTAGCACGCATCCCCGAGCTTTCGGGGACCCCCAACCATAAAAAATAAAAATAATAATAATATTTTGACAGTATTGAAAATCATACTGTCAGTATTTCAAAATACACCAGTATACAGTATACACAGTATACCGCTCAAGCCTACTTGAAAGCACTGTTTTTCTGCTATTGCCAGGTAATGCTTGTGAATGCATACAAAGTGAATATGCTGCTGCTCTTCTTTGCATATTATTGCTAAAAGAATTAGTCAAAACGAAAGTGTTGCGGTCCAAGGGCCTGGAGAGAGAAGGAGTGGGGAGGAGAGGAGGAGAGATGAGGGCGTGGGTTGCGTTCACTTTAGGTAAGTCTGGCACTCGGCCACACACCAAAGATGGAGCAAAGCCCCAACATCTCAAGGAGGAGCACCAGGGATGACTCAGGGTGACTTCTGAGTCTGATTTTAATCTTGAAATGACAACCAAATGCAATGGAGTAGCACAAGTACCACTCCACTCTTCTTTTCGACCCCGTCTCCAGCACAAAAGTTGAGCTGTTTCTGCTACCCATGATTCTATTCAGACTGAAACATATTCCCTTGAAAATCCAGAGCTACAAAGGGTACCTGTAAAAGCCTGCACAATGTCTTATATGCATCCCAACTTTTTCAAAAATCTATTGAACTCAAATTAATTTTTAGGTCATCAAATCTGAGATGTAACATACACAAACACACACACACACCTATGAGTAGTGAAATGTTTTGCATATTACTCTACTCAATATCATTCAGATTTATTTTCATAGTAATTCATACTTAAATGTTTGAAGTTGGCATCACTTTCCTACAATACAATTTACACAGTGTCTTCATGGTAGTGTGCCTATCGTGTTTTCTTATCAAATGATCACAGGAAGTGCAAGAGTCAACAGGAACTTGTAGCAATAAACAGAGATTCGGCGATACTAGGAAGAACTTCCAAAATGGTTGTCCTGTGCATGAGCTGAAAAAGTACCCAGTTATAGTAGAACTTGCTAGGGAAATTAGAGGTAAGATGCATGCATATTCTGCCCTTTGCTCTTGAAAACTTGAATAACCTCTGACCTTTTGCACATACTGCATTGTAGGGTGCATAGCATCTGCATACACCTCTGTGTAATCAGTTGTTCAAGTGAAATTGCTGTGCCACAATGTGTTTGCCTGAAGGATGGTGAGATCATAAGAATGACTGGTTACAGTTATATTGTCTTTCAGATACTGTATGTCAGTCACTAAAGAACCACTCATAACTTGTTATATCTGCCTTACAACATTCATTCACAACTTCAATTTTTTTTACTGTATTTCCTCAGTTCTATGAGCAAAATGATGCCACTGCTTTACACCAAAGTCTAAACAAGACAGCACAGTAGCATGGTCATTGGTCATGACTATAATTGTAAAATGACTATAATAAGTTCAATTGCGAATCATATAGTGGAGTTTTGGGATATAATACTGTATATGAGAGACAATGATTATCCTTCCTTGCTTACGTCTGTGTGAACTTGTTAAAGGCTGGTTAACGAGGGGCGTGTTATCAGGGAGACTGAGACACACACACACACACACATTTGTTTACACATGTAGCAGCTCTGACAGGGAGTCCCATCCTCTCTCTTCTCCTCTCCACTCAGAGCCATCAGACACCAGGTGAAGGTTGAAACTGTCAGCGGACGCAATGAAACTGACACAGCTCTCTCGCTCGTTCTCTCTCTCTTTCTCACAAAAAAAATAAAAAATAAAAATATCAGACCAAAAATCTCCATTGCATCTCTCCTCTCATTATTTCATTGTACCTGATGTGTCACAAGCAGTGTCCTCCCCGGCTGCCTCTTTCTTGGGGGCCTTCTTCCTGTACACAATATGAGGTTTGGTGTGTTCTTCTTCATAGTGCTCTCCATTGTAGCTGTGAAGGGGCTCCACAAAAAACTCCCCTTCTGGTGACCTGAAAGTGCCAAGCTGAGAGGGAGAAAACAGGAGGAAACAGAATTGTTTGAAATAACTGCAGTAACATTGGAGTGTGGATTCGTATTGCATGGACACACTCAAAATATTAGTTGAAATGCTCCTTGTCAGGGCCCCCACTGGCTTTTATACACAGCTATTCATGTGATGAGAATGTGTTGAAATACATGTATTTGCATGCATATTAGTAAAATGGTCCCTGCAAAAGAGAGGAAAAAGGAGAAGAATGAGTCCTATGATACCTATCAGAAAACAATGCAACTCTTTTTGTTTGTTTCTTGGCACAGTTGGCAGACTTGGTGGAAGCCTTGTTGCATTTCATAAAGCACAGGCTGTACTACTAGTTAACTTGGAGGTCAAAGATACACCAGACAAGCAAAGTGCAAAGCTAAGCAATGTGGAAACAGCACTCATTTCTAATTTAGATTGAGTTGGACAATGCTGCACTGGGCAATGTTACAGACCAATAGGGTGGCCCAGAGTGAACCTAATTCACCATGAAAATGTATTTCATTGCTTATGTATGAGATTGAAACCACCTCAAACTAGGGAAAAAGGCATATCATATACTGTAGGTCTGCTGTATGCAAAATGTAATGACCATTGGGAATATTCACCATTGTACTCACATGCAAACAAGATACTGTATAATGACAACACCAAGTATTGATTTAGTTGTGGGAGCCCCTCTCATTATGACTGAGGATGATGACTCACGTAATTTAAATTACAAAGTGGAATTGAAATGAGAAAGTGGTTAATTCATGGTAAGTGGATATGATTCATAATATATCAGTGTGCATATACCTACTTCTGACCGTTTCCCTGTGAATAGGTCCAGAGCAAGTTACAAGTCCTTGGATGTATGAATAAATAGCCTATAAATGCTTGATCATTTTCACTTTTTAATAGTGCATTTTATTGGCATGAATCACACCCATAGACCAACATTAACTTTGTTTTATTTTAATGTCAAATGATATCCACAAGCAAGCTAACTAGGCCTATAGTACAGGTCCCCCTGTAGGTCAGCTGGTAGAGCATGGCACTTGCAACGCCAGGGTTGTGGGTTCGATTCCTACGCGGGGCCAGTAAGAAAAAAAACATGTATGCACTCACTAACTGTAAATCGCTCTGGATAAGAGCGTCTGCTAAAAATGACTAAAATGTAAAAAAAAAAAAATTTAAAAGTCCCATTTGTTTGATTTGTGATGACCTCAAAGATGTTCGCAGTTAGTTAATAATTGTTATCAATACAATCTGTAAGTATCCCTAGGGAATTTCTACTCCACAACGTCATGCATGAATGGATATTATGTTCTTGTCCGAGACTGAATCGTGATGACGTCAGCACCACTGGCGCTCCCTCTGCACTAATGTGCGTAGGACGTCACCAGCGACCGGAGGAGCATGCATCCAGAGTGAATGATGGATGAAGTGGAGGAGGACAAGAGAGAGGACATCTAGGCACAAAGTTATTTATCTTAGCAGCTCGTTTTAGATTGTCAGGGATACAAGAGCTAACATAATGTCTGTCTCTCATTAACAGTCACCACTTGCATGTTGAACACAAATGCACAAGGCTGGAAAGGCGCGCTTTGTGCAGAGGTAAAAATGCACTCCGTTGCCAGGTAAGGTTCCCCTAATGTTCTCATGTTGCCATAGTATTATTATGTGAACAGCTGCATAGTAAACAATTGGTATTACAGTTTCATATCTAGTCATATAACACGTGCGCCTATCATAGTGCAGACTAGAGAAACATTGTAGAACACTGTATCAAGGGAGGGCTACTCAAAGTGCTTGGACTCACCAATCCAGAGCAGAGACTGATGACTGCGGTGTGCTCCGTTTGAGCATTCACATGTCCTTTATAGAAGCAGTGCTGATACTCCGTATCCTCCTCCGCCTCCTCCTCCAGGGTGAAATCCGTTATGTTACCTCTGGTAGGTGCTCCTAGTACTGTCACTGTGTATAGCGGAGCGATAAATCCGGACTCGAGTGTCAGGTTGAGGTGATAGCTCTGTCCGAACGCAGATATTTTGAAATGGATTGTTGGAGAGGCCCATTGATCGGAGGAGTTGCCAGGGACACCGTCCACACTCCGCCTTTTCCTTTTGAAGTGCACGCTCGTGGGAAAGTTGTCACCGGCTTCATTCACTCGCGCCGGAGTTACAATCTCGTATGCGCCAAGCTGCTTAGGCACTTTAGCTGGTGAAGAAAGCCATGGTATAACGGCTATATCATAAGCAATGATAATACATAATTATAATAATAATAACTATAATAATAATAATGTTGTATGAGTTAATTACGTTTGCCCTGTGAAATGAAGTAATTCAAAAACATAAGACCATTATAAATGTATAAATGCATTGCAAGTCATGTGTTTTGCTGATCCTGAAAAAAGTCATTCATTCTCTGCATACCGGTTACAAAATAACACATCACATGGTAAAACATTTTTTGGGCAGGTCGAAATACTTTACCTTTTCTTGAATTCAATAGCGATCTCTCCGTGGATAACACTACATTCAAAACGTCTGGGAGAAATAGCAGAAACCCTAGTCCCCAAAACAGCACATGCATGATTGTCCACGTTAAGTAGAGAGCAGCACCACCGAATACAAGTATGCCTCTTGCACAGCTGCTCCGGTCACTCGGGCTTTCCAACCTATTCCAACTCTTAAGTGCTTGCGCGTCTGCCACATTCAAATCGATTATGCTTGACTCTTGGCTGGGGGGTTTCTCACCAGTAACGTGCGTTGGGTCGTGAGCGGTTCGCGGATCCCCTGGAGAACATGCATACTGCAGAGAGAGGGGCCGGTTGTAGGCTACAAACAGATAACTATTGTGGGCTACACTGCAGGCACCAGACTGCTGATGTCGGGGGCGCGCTTAGTGAAAAGGTAGGCTACATTAATGGGCACGCCCCTCAACCAAGCCACTCCCATTTCTTAGAGAGGGACTTGACAGACAGAATAAACGTATTATTGTGGCAGCACTGCAATTACTTGAGAAACATCTTCAATTAGGATTGCTGGCGGTGGTGGAGCTGTTCTCCATGAAGAAACCATGAAGGTAGTAGCTGGATAAGCAATGAGAAATGTCAACATTTGAGTTATAAAGACATTATAATGGCATTGTTTAATGTTACTGATAATCGCTTTATTAGGCTACATCCTCCTCCTGACATTAGCCTACATGGGGTCCTTTGTATAGACACTGCAGTTAAGTTCAAAGGGTTTCAAGCTACTCCACATTTAGCCTACTCAGCTATTATACTGATTCTACCTCATTCACTGTGTCTTCACAAATGAGGATTTGGGGGATCTTTACATTTAGAAAGTCATTGAGTTCCTTTAAATGAGCCCCCCAAACGAGAAAGCAGCGAGCGAGAGAGAGAGAGGAGCGAGAGAGAGAGAGAGAGAGGCGAGAGAGAGGCGAGAGCGCGCAGAGAGAGAAGAGAGAGAGAGCGCGAGAGGAGAGGAGCGCAGAAAGCAGAGAGGCGAGAGACGAGAGAGAGAGAGAGATCGAAGAGCGAGAGTAGCTCGATATGCTCGTCGGATAGAGTCGACTAATATGTCGATGATCGCTCATCTCTCTTAGCTCTTCTGACTGCTCCTCTCGCTTCTCTCTCTCCCTCTACTATCCTAGCCTCCCTCCTCCTCCTCCTCCCTCCCTCCCTCCCACACACACATACACATCATCATATTATGCAAAGACACAGTTTGTTCTTCAATATTATCATATGTGAAAGATAAGTAGCCTAGAAGGCTCTGTCAAGAAAACAGGACATGAAGAAATACATTTTCACCAGGCAGTCATGTTCTTGAGATTAAAACTAGTCTAAATATCCTTGTTACTACACAGACCAGGGCTAGAAGGAATCATGTCACTGTTAGTCTACACCTGTTGTTTACGAAGCATGTGACAAATACAATTTTATTTTATTTTATTTAGAATAGTTTAGTTGAACCTGTGACATACTGTAGATGCTGCTAAGCACTCCTAAAACACTCCCTTGGTTTGATGTGTCATCACTGCAACCAATGCACCACAACACTAGACGCCTGGTCTCCTCCCCAGAGACCTTATGTAGTGATAAATGCTAGCAGATGGGACGTTACAGCTAATTTGTTTGGTACAATCAACAAACATCACCATTAGAACCATTAACATGGTTTGCAGGTGCACACCTAAAACAATAGCCCCATAGGAAATGGCCGTGGTGGGCTCAGAAAAAAACACATTATAGCCTAAGCACAAGGGATTTTTCGAAGGAAAACAGGCAAACAAAATTATGATAGCCAACCAGCTTGTACAAAATTTGTATTGGTAAAACATGAAGTTCAAGCCTCTATTGATTAATTTTATAAATCAGTACTTTTTGTCTTCTAAATGATGACAAAATCTGTTTGATAATCTGACTCAATAGAGCTCAACTTCCATCATTCGATACTATAGACGTCATGCTTTGTTAAGCCAATCTGGGACCAAACTCAAAGGCATTTACATATATTATCTTACCCCTAAACAAAACAATCCATTTTTTTTCCTCAAATGCTTGTTTTCCACAGTATCAATAACATCACATTAATTAATTAAATAAACTATGATGGCAAACTAGTCAAAAAACTAAAAATGTATTCTACCCACTACCTTGCAAAATTAACTGTTGTTAACTGCAGATTTGTTTAAAATACCTACAATCTCTCCAAACATGCAGTAGTCATGTCAGTCTGGCACCGATGTGGATGTGATGAGGAGTCAGGCGCAGGACACAGAGGTTTAGTCCAACAAACTTTACTATAGTAAAGTGAACAATAATCACTACACGACCTCGAAATACAGAGGCGAGAACAGTACGCAACATGCGTAAAACAAAACATGTAGAGCGCAAAACACGCAGCTCAAACGACACGCGGACAACAAACACACAATATAACTAACACAAAACAGGGACTAAGGACGGGAAAGGGGAT